GGGGGGGGGGGGGGGGGGGGGGGCAGGGGGTTCCTCATTCGCTGGATCGGAACTGGAGAAAGATGACGGTGAACATCACCACGTGCCTCGTGACCTGTGGACCAGGAAGCCAAGGAACCGAGAAAAAGACGGTACTTTGAGTCGAATGCCGCTCGACCGTGGCAAAAAATAAATAAAAGACGAGACTGACATCGTAATAGACGGGATACCCGAGCCTTACGAATCCGGAACCGGTCATCAGGACGTTGGCGGATTGCAGGATCTTCTTTAGCGCGAACGTTTCCTGCAACAAAATTAAAAGGAAATGCCGATTTGGAAAAGTCGCACAGTCTTCTGCGCTTCCCTGTCGTCTGATTCGTATCGGTGCGAAACGAACCGAGCGAGGTCGGAAACGATGGGAGTGAACTCACGGCTTGGATTTCCTTCTCGGGACAGGACGGATCCTCGATTTTCGACAACAGCCTCCAGTTGATCTGGCGGCGAAAATTCTCGTCCTGCATGCCGAAAGACATCAATGCCCATTCATGGTCGCGCAAACTGGCGCAAATAAATATTTTAAGGGTGGAGCATTAGGTACTCGTCCTGGATGGCTCTGATTTAAAAAAAGAAGATACTTATGTCCCCTTCTCTCTCGTATGGGCTGGAATAGGCTGATCATGTAAATCAAGATGGGCACTATAGTTTGAGCATCTCCTATGAGCACTTTCCTACTTTGTGTGATTAACGTGTCTATGTCATATGGGAATGTAACTCATGATAACGCATGTCACTCTATTATACTTTCGTCTCTAGGGGGAAATATGCTTTATTTGGAAATTATGCCCCACCCTTAAAATAAATTTTAAAAAATATATATATATATAAAATTGTAAGTAAATAAAAGGAAACGGTTGGACCTCTTCTCGGATGACTTGAGCCGCTCGGAGACAGACGGCCGAAGCGGTCCACGAAATGAGGGTGGAGGTGAGGAAGGGGAGGAGGGTGACGGCGATGTCGAAGGCGCCCTGACGGAAGTCCAGCTCGACGAGGACCATGTACAGGGTTGCGGTCGTGTTCACGATCGTCGCCGCGAGCAGGACCGAGACCTGCAGCCCCAAGGAGGAGCCGAGACCCCGAACGACGTCCTTGAGCCGTCGATCCCAGAGATGAGCCGACTTCCACGCGTCGTTCTGGGGATCTTCGAGGGAGACTCGCAGTCGGTCGTAGGCCGAGGCCACCAGAGTGCAGAGGTAGAGGGAAAGATGGGGCAGGAAAAGAAACGTGTGGTTGTGGGACGAGCCCATGACGATCGTTACTAGGGCCATGGACCAGGAAAAGCCAGCTTTCCATGCCATCATGCCGGAGGCCAAGGAGAAAAGGCTGTTCAGGGCGAACAGGACCGAGTACTGGAGGAAAATCCTTCGAGACGAGACGTGCACCGAGGACCCGAGTTCCAGGACTTCTCCGAGGGCTTTTTGCAGACTCTTCCCCTTGAAGAGGGTCAGAAGTATGAGGCTGACGTAAGCGAGACTAGTCGTGGTCATCACGCTCGCGAAAGCGAAAAAGGCCGTCAGCGATCTCCGAACGAGCAGGCCGTAGCTCGCATTCAGCTGGGCGTCGTCGAACGTCTTGCTCTCCCTCGAAAACGCAGACGACACCGCATCGCCTGCCGACACGTCGAAACACGCGGCTGACGAGAAGACGGCATCGAGTCGGACGGAAGAAGATGAGCTTACGTAAGACGTAGAAGAAGTAAACATAGAGGAGTCCGTGCAAGACGAGACGAATCCAAGGCCGAACGGAGGGGAAGGAGAGCCACCGAAACCTCGGTCCCCCCGACCCCAAGATCCCGCCGAACGGGAAATCCCCCGTGATCGACGAGACGAAGCAGAGCCATTTCACGGCGCCTTCCAGCCGGACTTCCTTCGTCTTTTCCTCTTCCCTTTCGGCAGCCTGCCATGCCTCCATGGTCGGGAGCGTCTCACTTTTCCCATCGAGTTCCCATTATGGAGATTAGAGCCGATCGAGACGATCGTTAATATGGCTGCCACGGTTTTCTTTTTCCCTTCACGTGTTTTCACTTCAAATATTCATGCATTAGGCTTGGCGATATCGGGTACGCGTGACTCCACCGAAACCGTGGTGCAGATCGATGTCCGACATTGCAGTGTTGACTCTCAAAGTGGCACGCAGTCATCCTGATGCCTATCGAGAAAACCAACGACGTTAATGGTCCGTTCGACTGCTAGTCTATGGGGACGTGACAGGGGAGGGAAGAATAGTGTGCATCGGTCCATCGAGTCTGGAAAGAGAGAAAGAATCGATGGAAACGTCTCGGGAGTAAAATCCACGCGCGTCGACGACAAGAATCATATCTGCTCTTTGCAGGGTTTCATTCGCTCTTTCACGTGTATCATGGCTTTGCGGTTTCAACTTTTTTTTTTTAGTTAACGATAATCTCGTTCGTCCATTCTTGGTTTAAGCTATGTCTATGCCAAACTTCGTCGGAAAACTTTCGCAGTTTCGGATAATTTTTGGAACGAGAAACTCCACCAAAATACTGACCTTCCAAATGCGTCCATCGGTCAGGCCAGAACGGCCTGACCGATGGACGCATTTCACCGAAACTCTCGAAGGCCTGGTTACGATACTAGATTTACATATACCAAATTTCATCGATGAACTATTGGTTTTCCGAGAACTTTGCATGCACCCATTGGATTTTTAGCCCGATGGAAATGCGAACCGCAACTAGTGAATAGTCTCCAAAGCAAAACGGACCACATGCGCTCGCAGCACTCTTTGCCGGACCGGACCGGACCGAGTCTCTTTTTCTTCAGCACGGGTCGAAATTCTGAATTCAAAACAAGAAGTACCTTGACTCGGCTTTTTCCAGCACGGAAACGTCAAACGGCAGGTCGCACGTCATTTTTTGGGTGACAGGCGAGGTGCAGACAAAAGCCATCGCCAACGACTTAAGGATTTTGTCCCAGGGATTTATTCTGCGTTGAAAGGGTACGTGTGGATGAGGCATCCATGCATCTAGTTTGCGCATTTCTATGCGAACAATTCCCGAATCTTTGATAACATCGGCCTTGTACGAATGGTAGAAGCAGAGTGCCCTTTTCATCCAATTACTACCAATTAATACCAAGAGGTATTCATATCTTAACCCCAACGTTTCGTCAGGAATGCCTTCTTCATCATATCAAGCCTCAACCAGTTCCATCGCGAAGGGACGGGGGGGGGGGGGGGGGTGGGGGGAGGGGGGGGGGGGGGGGGGNNNNGGGGGGGGTTGTGAGTAGGGGGGGGGGGTAGTTCTATCTCGCAATCGACTTCGGCTCCTCCAACTTTCTCTCCTTGAAGTTTTCAGCTGCTGCTTCATTCATGATGTTGTTTGAGCTAGAGGAGTTCCCGAAGTGTGCCGCAGCATCAAAGTTTAATAACTTCCTCCGAATCGAGAACTTTTACTTATTAAATTGAAAGCGGAAGTCACTTTCTGTCTCTCCGACATATGAAACTCGACACTTGATCACAGTCGAGGAGTCGTTGTTGAAACTTCCAGCCACTAAAATCGTTACGAGCAGAGAGCAGTGATTGAATTCCTAACCAGGAGTACCACCAATAGACAATTCATTCGTTGCATGGATTTTTTTTTTGTATGGCGATGCACGTGTCGATGTGCGTACTGTGCGTAACCGGTTGAGTCATGCGAAGAGTGGAGAAAGCGATAGGAGAGATGGGTGCGTCGCGTCACCGGTCGCTGCTGATTATGACCGACTGCAGCGAGGCCGAGCTGTAATCTCGCTTCCTGCACTGTTCACACGATTCACATGGGGTCGCGCGGTACTCACAGCAAGTCATGCTTCGCCGTACATAAAAAAACCTTCATGGAACGTTGATGATTTACCGGTTGTACTCCTTACCTCGCATGGAATTCAATCGTTGATCTCTGCTTGGAGCAGACATCATCACACTCCACCGTTTTGAATCGCTGATGTGGCAATGCTCTCTGGATAGGAATCACAAATAATTACAAGGAATGGAAGGAAAATTGAAAATGTCTGCATGTGCATTCCCATGCTTGTGTCATCAGTAATATGTGGTGCATAACACAGGAGCCATTACTTTTGCGGTATCCTTCGCATATATCAGAAAGAATAATGGACCCAAAGCGGATCCCAGTGGCATACCAAGTTCAAGTGGAGATTCATTGAACTAGGTACACCCCTGTATACGACAAATTGCTACCTTCCATTTAGGTAACTTTTGAACTATTGCTATACATTCCCTCTAAACCTAATACGATATATTATTTGAGTATGAGATTCTTGCGTGAGAATCAGGAGCGTTTTTAAATATAGGAAAAATGCTATTGTTTTATTTGAATAGTCCAATTCTTTCCGTGTCTGCTCAATTAATTTCATCAGCTCTCCTTAGGTATTTCCCCCCATAAAAATTCAAATTTATTTCTAGTTAAGTGCTTTTTCTTCAAAATATGCCAGGTTGTGTCTTTAATCTGCCTCCTGCGGTTCGCTCAGATCAATCGACAGTTCTTGAACATGTCTGCCCCCTCTCTGCCACCTGATTCTTCTCCAACTGAAGATTCTGAAGAAGTACTTCTGAAGGCTGCTAGACATGGTGATTCAGACATGATAAAGGAACTTCTAGGGGCTGTCGGAGAGGGAAAAATTACCGTCAATATCAACTGTAAAGGTGCGGAGCTGCAATAAAATTAGGCATTTAAACCATAATTGTAGACTAAATTAAGCCTGTATAGTTAGGCCCAACCGGCGATTCATACGTAAACCTACGTTTGACTTGAAATAGTTGGGTAGGTTTAATATGACAGATAAAAGTAAGTAGGAAGGAGTGGCGACGATATTCCATACATATGTATTTTCTTCTATGGTGGGAAGGTTTTTCCACAAGTTTTCAGAGTAGATGGGACACTACTCAAATTATATGCAATGGTTTTAAGAAGTAGAGTCCGAAGTGGTTTCTGGAATGATGAGAATCTGCCCAAGACATGGAGGCTTTCTTTAAAAAATAAAAGAAAGCTGTCCAGAACACCAGACTCACTCATCCATTATGCTGAAAGCAATGTACAGCAGCAGTCTGTAAACTAGACAGCTCTGTGCATGCTGTAATGCATGTTCTGCTACATCTCAAGAAATAGAAATGATTTATACACACATCAGCACACAATATGACTCAGTTGGGAAGAATGTAAGTACCCCATTTGAGCTGAAGGTCTCTAGCTGAAGCCTTTGTCTCCAGTAGTCACACTTGTAAGTGCCATCCTATATTCAGAGTTAATTAACTCTACGCCATGTGCTGATCTTTGGAACAGGATTTCTCATGACTATTGTGTGTATTAATAAATATGCTAAGGTTCATCTGATGAATGCAGATACTGAGTGAAAAGTACCCAAGAATTAGATGGAAGATACTTCTAAAAGTAAATTAAATAGGCTATAGAAACAGTTTATTTATGCTGCATTAGTATATACAAGACTCCCAACATCTTTTGTCCAGATCAGTGAAAGCTGGTAGCCCATTGTGTAATGTCTAGGGAGCAGGTTTTTTTGTAAATGCCTATTTTTTTCTGCACCCTCATAGGATCATGTTTTAGTAGAGGAAGAAATTTATGCAACTTGTAAAATGCTTAAAGCATTTTACAAGTTGCATAAATTGTAAAATTTTGTTTTTTCAAAATATGCACATTTTTCCATGTATGGACACTATATATTTGCACATATTTTACCAATTTTCAGAGGGAAAAATATCATTTTCTATGAAGATATATTATATTTTACAAATAACAATGAATAATTTTCAGCAGTCCTATGCTGTAACAAGAATAGACCAGCATTGCCATCAGGCACTTGATTTCATCTCCAAGTTTTCCCTTACTCCACTCCAAGGAGGAAGGGAGCTTGGCAATATGAAATGTCCGGCTAGACTTTAGAACCCAAAATGTGACCACTGAACATCCCTGATTTTAACCAAATGGATGAAACAGTTTGAGGAACACTCCAGGAAACTTCAGGTTTGCAGGAAAACTGACTTCAGAATCTGCAGGACCTGCAAATGAAGATTTCTCCATGAATTTGATGCTATAAGTAACAAATTTGGATTGAGCTGTTCACCAGTTCTATTCAGATTTAGCTGCTATTTTTCTATAAAGCATTGACCATCTGCAGTATACCATTCCAAAGAAAGTAATAAGGCAAGGAAAGGAGAAGAGATTTGCAAACAGATCCTGAGCCCCTAGACTGACTCTTGGGTTTGTTTTCACACATTCCTTGTGATCCTGTCTCATTCCCATTCTTGCTAGGGCTTGAATTTGTTATTCTTGTCCTTTTTTGATTTGACAAGATACAGTAGGGTGAAAAATCAATAATGAAGCCATCTCCCCATCAGTGAAGAGACAGCTATATATAAACTGCCACCTATAGAATAATCACAGTATTGGTATTGGGGTCATATGCTGTATACATCAGAGTTCATGGGGAGGAGATGGTGGAATGCATTTCAGATGACTGGTCAGGTGAAGGATGGGAGAGAGGATGAAATTTAATGGAAGAGAATAAATGAATGACACAGAGATGCTTGACACCATTGAAATGATCATGGTCGATGAACCAGTTGCTTCATTGAAGTTAAATCACCATCTTCCTAAGGCTTTACCATAAAATCCATAAAGTTAAAGGAGGAGACTTCTGTTTATCTGTGGCTGTGTTTGTGACTATGCACTAAAGGACTGGGCTACTTGGGTAGAGCCCTTTCTTTGGTAGGTCGAAGCCATAGCACGAGATAATGATGGTTAGGAGCTGCTCATGATATTGTCATGATTATGATTTTGTCCTTAGGCCACTCCAAAGGAAATCATGGGTGGACACCACTCCTTCTGGCATCATATTTTGGCCATTACAATGCTGCAGAGATATTATTGACTCAGGGAGCAGATGTCAACATATGCATTCCCACTGGAGATACAGCTCTGCACAAAGCTGCTTTAATAAATAGGCTGGTGAGTGCCAGAATACACTACTGTCTGAGTTGTACAAAAACATTTTTTAAAAAGTAGCCATTAAATCATCTATATTTTAAAATGTTCAGCCATGAATCTTACAAAAATGTTTAAAATGTCACAAATGTTTTTATTGACAAGGGGTGAATCTAAATTTATGTAATACTCCTACCACATTTGCAATGTGCATGAAGGCAAAGCTCAATCTTAGTCTTAAATTTTAATCACCAAATTGCTGTGTGCCTTGTCTCTTTATTATCTCATATTCCTAACCTTTTTTTATTCTTCAAGAAATTGAGTTTTTCTGCTCAAGTTCTACATTGTTACATTGACTTCTGTTTCCTTACCACTGTCTTATAATAAGTTTGATTGCTTATGAGGAAAAGAGCAAACAATGAGAAGAGCCCACCTATTCCATTAGTACAGTGGTAGAGTTTGAATGTTTCTTATTAAATTTGATTCATAAATAATAAATACATGAAAAAAGTGACCAGGTGAAAAAATAAATTTAAGATGTCAGTATTGGATACCTGATGGGTTTTTTTGTTGACTACATCTGTAGAGAAGCAAATGAATCCAAGTCAGGAGAGGGAAATCTTATTATGGTTTTAATTAGTTAATACCTTTTAATTTGATTTTTTATACTGAGACTTTCACCCATTTCTTTACCTGGAAGCCTGCTTGAAAAAGGATTTGGAAATTAGGCTGTATATTCATTGTGATTAATACATGCAGAATATGCTCCATGGAAGTTATTTTTCAACCAATTTCCAACAGAAAAATGGAAACAAAGTGCACCAATTTACTGATTATGTTGGGAAAAAATTGAGAAGTTCAGCCATTTGTGAGAGACATAAACTATACTATAACACAGACACTGCTCTGGTCTGTATACACCTTTCTGGAGATGTGTAAACATGTATTCAGATATTGTGAGAATGCATGTATTAAACTTATCATTAGTCCTTTCAGCAGTACCTTCATGTAATTTTCAGGATATAGTTCAGCTTTTGCTGAGACATGGGGCAGATGTGAACTTGTTGAATGGTGAAGGAAAGCAAGCTCGAGATTTGGCTCAGGGAGATGATGTGAGGCGATTGCTCAATAGTGTGGAGCAACAGGAAGTGAAAGCCAAGGAGAGCCTCTTCCTGGATGCTGCTCGTGATGGAGACATTGATGATATGAAGAAGTATCTCGTGAGTGTACATGTGTCATACTTATTTACACGAGGTGCATGCTTTAAAAAATCATAGACAATTATGAATTTATATCTTATATCCTTTAATGCTTCCCATACATGTGCATGTGTTGAATCACATGAGGGAGAAGGTGCGGGGGTTCCTTGGAGAGTACAATATTGAATATCTGTACACTTTACCAACAGCATATTTTGGATAAGTTACCAGATATTTAATTGATCAGGATATTTGAATTTGATACAGTGTGCTTGAATACCTTGACATTCTGTCACTGTCTAACATGATTCTATTCAAGAATAAGCATTCATGGCATACCTTGGGAATAAGAAATAAGACCTGAGCTGAGAGCTACTTAATCCAATGTTAAATAGCAGGCACTTTTAAATACAAGGAAGAGAACCTTGTCCATGACATGAGGGTCCACTTTGATACTGAACACCTTGAAAATGATTTCCCCTTGAAGACTCATATTTTCCAGACCATTGTTCTTATGAAATTGCTCTGATTTCGCTCTTACCAAGATCATGGAGTTTCTTTACTTGATGTTTGTAGTTATCCTTTTGCTTGATCATAATTGCAAGTAATGTATTATAAGAGAAGGCAATATTTTGGTTGCATTCCTGACTGATTATGTCCATGGCTTAGGAAAACCTACTTTATCACCATCGCTTGGGCAAAAGATCTCTCATTGATCTCTGCATAGTAATTTTCCTCCATTGGGTAGTGCAGTAAGCTTTTGAGAGTCATATGTCTTAGTATGTGATTTTCATACCTTAAAGTCTTCTTTTCAAGGTTTTTGGGGGTATAATCCCTCTTGGCTCTCCTCTGTCTCACTCCAAATTGTTGGTTGCCTACCCATTAATCCAAGATTTGTTATCAAGATTTCTTAATTGGGTGAGTGTTCATATGGATTTTAAGTCAGATTTTGTTTTTATTTCAGCTTGATGACAAGAAGCCAGTGAATGTGAATTGTCAGGATGACTTGGGGAACACAGCACTGCATTGCTCTGCTTTCCGGTCCCTGAAACAAGTTGCCATTTTCCTTTTGGAACATGGCATCGATCCTTCTATTCGCAATAATGCTGGTGTGCCATTCCCCATTGTATCAGATTTGGATTTTGCTTCATACTGCACACTAATCTCTGGTCTTGTTACTGTGTCTAACATCTGTTCTCAGCTCTTTTCACTCATTGACAACCACACCAGGCAGGCACTGGTGTGAGACATACATTTTCCAGAGTGACACCATAAAGTACCTATGCAGGTGCCAGGGCCTGACACCTACATAGATCCAACCCTGCAATGAGAATACCCTGACCAAAGTCCTATGAGAAGGTGTCCCTTAAGTTGATCAACCTTGCAGCTGTGATTGAATAGATTTAGAATAGCATAATGAGAATTTCTGTGGTCTCAACCCAATTGGTGCTGGAGGTGAAGAGTAAATGGTCAAAAACACAAAAACAACATTAATATCATAAGACCAGAAAAAGGTGTTGACATTGACAATGGAGGTGACATTGTACTACATTCATAGATTGGAGTATTGTGAAGTTATGTGGGTCCAATATTCTGAGAGGAAAGGAAGGTGCTATTGGCATGTTCAGAAGGTTTAGAAGGTTTTATATTTATCTGTCAATTCCTTCTAAGTAATCCTAAAGAATGCCAAGACCCTTTCATATTTTTACCAGGCTCTGATCTAGTATATCTGCTCCCAGTTATTAAGTTATTAACTAGTGAAGTTCTGTTTGGAATGTTTTTGCAAAATTACAAGGGAAAGAGGGAAGGAGATCATTCAGAAAAATATATTGACAAAGTCATTGCCTTCTGAATCAGCAGAGATAAGCTGAAGAGAAGAATATACTGAGGCTATGAATGGGGCAGTCAATTGATCACCTTTAAATGACTGTTATTGCTCTTTTTTTTATTCAATGAATTAAGGCATTTTTTTTTATAGAGTTCATAACTGGTAATTTATCCTCTAGCACTAAAACCAAAGTGCCTTTCCATATCAAAGTTACACGGTGGGCCAAAAAAAAAATTGGCTATCTTTAACGATTCACATCATAGTTTCTCAAGAGTTTGAAAATATTGCAATATCTCTTTATTGAACATTTATCTGGCTTCCCACTGATGTCAAAAGATTTAAGATCCAATTTGTCATTCCAATGCAGTTACACACAGTGTAACAGAGGTAGCACTTGAAAAGTCCACTTACCAGCACCCTACAAGATGTGCTCCAAGTGACATCCACTTCTTTGCTTATGGAAGAGGCTCTCCTGCATGCACTAGCTGCCATCATGGCATGGCACCAACATCTCCAAGGTCACCTCTTATACTCTTTATCTGAGTAAATGAAAGTCATGCCAAAAATCTTTATTCTGTTGACATCATTGGAAAGCTGAATAAATGTTCTATACAGAAGTGCTATTTCAATTTTATTAAACTTTTGGGGACCAGTGCTTTGGAGTGATAAAGATAACTGAAGTTTTTTTTGGCCCACCTGCAAGATACTTATTGCTGACCCCCATTCCCCCTTCCAGGGGGATTGCTCAAATGCTTAAATTGTCAATCTGACTCCAAAAGAGTGACATGCATGCATCTAATCTACTTGCCTATCTCTTAACAAGATGTCAAGCACAAAAGTGATTACAGTAGTCATGCAAGGAAATTAAATCTCTTACAAGGAGAAATTTAAAAAAACCCAAGAAAGTGATGCAAATGATTCTATGTTGACCATAGTTCAAATGTAATTGCATGTACAGGGTGGACCAAAAAATGTGTCCTGTTTGATGCTTTATAAAACTTGCTGTGGATGGTTCATGATGTATCACATTGGAAACACCACAATATTTTTTCCTGAAAGTTTCATGTACCTAGGTTGTCTGAATAAAAATCGACAGTCGTTCAAAGTGGAGTCATAACAAATGTATCTTTTCCTTGCATGAAGTGGATGGAGTTTCAGCATGGATGGAGTTTCAGCACTGCTTGGATGATTTCTCTCACTTGACACCATGAAGACTGGTTTTTAGGCCATGTCCTTGTCGTATTCTATGCATCATAGAATAGTACTACTGTCGTATGTTGTAGAATCAGAATCAGTACTAAACAGAATACTACAATGAGAACTAGCATAAAAAGCATCATTTTTGGTGAGCAGGGAGAGACATCACTCAAGCAGTCCTGATATTCCATCCACATCATGTGCAGAAAATGTACATTTTATGACTCCACTTTTAACTACTGTCAATTTTTATTCAGACAATCTAGGTACATGAAACTTTCAGAAAACAAATATTGTGGTGCTTCCAATTTGATACGAGAACATCATGAACCTAGATCATCCACAGTGGGTTTTATAAAGCATTAAACAGGGTGTGTTTTTTTTGGGCTACCCAGTATTAGCATATTCCAGAGGTCCATCATCCAAGAGACCATTCAACATTTACATAGTGTCCTAATTGAGTATATTGTGTTGGTATTTGAACTCCATGATGCCATGTTGAGTTTATTAGGACCTTATTTGTTAAAATTGACCAATGCTGTTAAAAGTTCTTTTGATTTTTTACTTTTTTTCTCTGATTGAGTTGAGGCCAGAGACATTTTGATTTTCCTATTTGAGACACATATGAAGATATCTATGATGTTGGTCTATGCAAGAGCATTCTCCTTTGAACAGTGGTCCTTCCATAAACAGAATCTCATCCACTGTTTCTTGCTTATAAAGAAGCAATCCATTCCTAGCATAATCAAAGGATATAATTTAAAAATATTTTTCAAATCAATTTTTGATAGCTTAGGACACATGTTGCAAATTGTTTTCAAGTGTTTCTAGCAAATTGTGTTTAAGTACTTTTTTTTGCATTCATGGTCTGTCTCCAGGCAATCATAAATACCCCATTACTTACTGCTGTTGTGCTGGTCCTGCTCTTTTGAAGTTTCTCCCCTTCAAACAAATAGATGAAGGCATGGTACAAACAAGGATGCTTCATTTTGGAGTGACCTGTCACATCTTTTTCATATTAAAAAAAGCCTGAATCAGGAATGGGTGCCTGATGTAGCCTCTGGTTTTATGTTGCTGCATCAGACACCAACATCTGACTTACAGAAGTTTTAATAGACCTATAGGAACAGTCATGATGAATGTGTTCAATACATCTATAAGAAACTTGTGCTCCAATGTTATGCCAAACTCCCAAACCACCTCCACCTTTGGCAGGGCCAAATTAACAAAAAAGGACAGTGTGGCTGGACTGCATGTTACTTGACAGTATTGTCATCTATAGGCCTGACAGCATGGGACCTCTCTCAATCTGCATCCATCCGAAGCCTTTTGAATGTGACTCCTGTAAGACAGTTTCAACAAGAAGCGTTCCGCTGTGAGGGACCTTTGCTGAAGAGAGCCCGCCTATTTGGCTGGAGGCATACTTGGGTGAGCTGAAACCTCTCCTGTTATCAACATGAAATGTACAGTAGTTTGTAGCCCAATGATGAAGCCTAGTAGCTAACCTTATGTACATTTGGGAATTCCATCATGGGTGTTGCTCAGGTTGTTCTGGAAAGAGGGGTCTTGAGCTATTATCCCACAAAACGTGACGCTCGTGCTCGAGCAAAGAGAAGAGATTACAAGCACTTGGCAGATTCACGTATTGTGGAGGATGGAAGGGATCCAAGTTTGATGGAGCTATACTTTTCTGACGGTACACGGCATCACCTTAAAGTCCCTCCCTCTCGGCGCAAGCAACCCTGTGTAGAACTGCAAGTAAGTCCTTTCATCTTTTTCTTATTTTTTTTTTAGACCATTGTCAATTCAGCTCATTTTTCCTGTTTCACTTGAGTATGGTGTTGGTGGCAGAAACATGCTCAGGAAATATTAAAGAATCCAAGGGTCCTGTACTCATGTGACTTCTTCAGACTTCTACAAACCAAAAGTTGGTAGTACCAGAAGCCAAGGGCAGAAAGAAAGCAGACTCACTTGATAGAAACCTGAATTATTCTTCTTCCTGATTCATAGCTGTTGATGTATTGTCCTAATTTAGAACCATAAAGTATGAAAAGTGATTAACCCCCTTGGCATTCTTTTTTTGTTATTGTTTTCACTTCATCACTCTTTCTTTCTCTTTCCAATGTCTTTCTTGCCTTGCAAATTTTTCCCTCGCCAAAGTTGCCTTTTAGGACACATTTATACAATGCTTACATAACCATAGTGGAAAATGATTTATTTACTTACCCTATATAATATAAACAACATATTTCCAGCTATGGCATAAAATTACCAGCAGCTTTTAGCCAAAATATATCCACCCATAATGGAGCAATTTTTGTGAAACTTTCAATATGCATAAATAGGAATGTTTCCAACATATTCTAAAAATTTATTCAGAATTTGTTGAGCTGAAGCAATATCATCAGCAATTTTTAAAAATAAGTTAGACATAAAGAATCTATTTCTAATTCAGAGACTTCTTTTTGATAATTTGTAATGGTATTGCTTCACCTCAACAAATGAAATTTGAAGAATAAGTTGCAAACACACCCATGTATGCATCGTGAAAGTTTCCCAAAAATAGCTCCATTACGAGTGGAAATAATTAGGTTGAAAGTTGTTAGTCTTTTTTTACCTGTGGACAGGATTCTTCACCCTGAGATAGGCTCAGGTCAAACACCAAGGGAGTTAAGGTCTGGCTTTCTTCCAGTCCTTTTTGCATTGTTTTTTACTATTGACATCACTCTATGGAAATTATGAAATATAGCTTATAAGCTCTAAGCTGTCCTTTTCCTTATTTACAAATGGGAATATAAATTTAATCACCTGAGTTTGTCATTTGAAATACCCAATTGGGCTTATCTTCATGAAAATATTGATGTTATTTGTATTCAAGTTCAAAACTTCTTGCAGAAATGGATGTTGGCCCTCAGAGAGCATGCAGATTACAGCAAGAGTCAGCTTCTGGAGGCAACTGTGGATGACAGTGATGATGAGATGGCAAAGCTTCCCTTTCGCTCTTTGTCAACCATCAAAGTACACCAAGACCCTTATACTGGGTGGTGCAAAAAAGAAAAGCATCCTAATTGACTCTAGAAAACCCATTGTGGAGCATGTAGTTTTGTGATTCTTTAATATCACTTTGGAAACTCCATCCACCTCATGTATAGAGAAGGTACATTCTATGACTCCACTTTGAATGACTGTATTCAGACAACCTAGACACACTAAACTCCCAGGAAACAAATTTTGTAGTGTTTTCAATGAGATATAAGAAAAAAGGCACAAATCTAGATGCTCTGCTGCAGATTTTATAAAGCATCAAACAGGACACTTTGTTTTTGTGCCACCCAATACATGATGCAGAATGCAGAGTTTAATCTGTAGGACTGCTGTAAGCTGGGGCTGTGGTGTCATTTTCAGGACTCCTTCCAGTCTGCAAAGACATATGTGCATCTGTTTGAAGATGGTGTTTCAAAACTACATGCTGATTTCTCATCTCTTGTTTCCCCAATGCAAGTTGAAGCCAGTCTCCCTTTTGTCCAGGTAATTATATTCTAATCAGGTGATCACTCTTTTATGTTATGAAGGGAAAAGGAGAGATGTTCCTCCAAAGGGAATCTTTCAATTTACTTTTATTGACTTGTGAGTTGCTCAAGTCACCTGGTCGTGATTGAGTAATCTCTGGATGTCCCTTTTGCTCTCTTGTGCTTACTTTGAAAATTTTGTTGGAGGCTGTTGCTTAATTGCAGTAGGGCTCACCAGAGCCTACCATATTGGTAACAGTGACGAGTGTGCAATGCTTTGGAGGCACACACCATATCTTTTGCCATTGAATGTCACCATCAGGAAATTGTTTGCCCTACTGAGGCTCTGGTTGCTGGACACAGAATAGTCTCCAAATACTACTTGATTGGGTTGAATGCTGGTGATACATGAATTGACTTCTGTTAGAATACAAGAGAGCTGGGGTGAAAATCCACATCATCCGTACAGTATATGCAAGTGTACTTGTACAGCTCACTTATAATTGAATGACTCAGTGCTAATGGAGTTAGTGAATAGTGGAAATTTACACCTTTGCCTCTTCTTAGGGAGAAAATAAAAAATTTATATATGCACAGAAATTTACAGACAAATTAAAATCTTCATGTTGCAGTAGTCAGTGCAGAAATGTTATACTTATGATTAACATACAAAAATGGAAACAGTGCAAGTGCCAGAATGGTATGAAGGATTTTGTACATATATTTGGTTGCAGAGGATGGAACAGCTGGAAGGAACAGCCAGGGAGACACTCCAGAGCCTACGTCATTGTCTTTCTTTGTTTGAACAGCAAGAGGAGGTGAGTAATATGTCAATACCAATATTGGAAAAAAAGCAGTCTTCCTAGAGAGAGGGAATTGATTCAGACAGTACAGGGTGTCACACAATAGTTGCCCTTCCCCCTCCTGGAATCTGCCATGCATGATGTGAATACATTTTGTCAATTCTATAAGAAAAGGTAGTATAACACAATACTTTTGTTTGTTTTTTTTCAGATTCTTAAAAAAAAGATGAAAAAAAAGACAAGTATCCTAGGTGACAGCAAGCTATTTTGCTCAGGCATTGAGCTATTGCTTTGACTTAGGATATTGCTACAGGTAAAGGTCTTTTTTTTATCACAAAAAAGTGAATTACAAGGATATTGAACAGAGATGAAAATTGGGTGCAATGGAACTAGAAGACCTAAAATGATGATGACACTCAGTTTGAAGGTGGCAGACTTCTAATGCTTTCACAAGAGAGTCAAAACATCATCACAGAAGTTGAAGTTGTGAGAAAAGCAGCAAAACAGCATTAATTTAGTTGGGAATGAAGAATGGGTGGGGAACTCACTTGATCTCAATGTTTATGAGCATGTGGGCTCAATTGTGAAGGATGGAGTGGAAGAAATGATACATGAAGGGGATAATCAACTTTCTATTGAACCTATGAAAAAAACAACTATGATGGTGGTGAACAATTTGTAAGATGTTCTTTATTTGCTCTAAAGTTTTTTTTATGTCTTACCCTTAAAGAATCTGAGAAATTGTTGAACACACAAGGTGTAAATGTGTAATTTTGCACTTGATACAGTCAACGCATAATATGCCAAACTCAAAGGGACAGTCTAAAAATTTTGTTATAAGGAAAGTAACTTTGTTTTAGACTCTATAATGAAGTTCTGTATAACAAATTGTTAATTTTGTGAACATCTATGAAGTCATTTTCCTTATAACAAAATTTTTAGACTGTCCCTTTGAGTTCATTATATTGAGCATCAACTGTATGATAAAAACACTGATGATAAGAAATAGAGGACAACATTTTTTTTCAAACTGCTGGTTTTGCTTGGAGGTAGGGGACAAATATTTTGCACAACCTTTTAGATAGGAGTTTGAGATGTAGTGATTCTTTGACAAAACTAGAAATCCATGAAAATTGGAAGTTTTTTTTCATTATAGATGACTTCCTTTCAAATATGACATGCAGTCATTGATTGACTGATTGGCAGTGTATAGAGGAGAAAGTAGGTGTATCCTATCCAAGTTGGTAGGCTTGATGACATGAGCTTTTCCAGCCTTTCTAAAGCCATACCTATCTTGGCTTGTGATGGCTAACTACCTAACTGGAATTACATGGTGGCCCAAAAAAAGGGCACATTTTCCAATGTGCATTTTAGGTGTGATGCTTTCAAATATATTTTTTCCCATTACATGCAATGGAAAAAAGAAAGGCTTAGCTAGAAAATGGCTTTTTCAGACTTGAAGTTTCTTAAATGATGACTAAGAAAAAAATTATTGAATTTCGGTTATGAAAAATCGGTGTTGCACTCACTGGCTTGACTCATCCCCTCAGCAGTTCAGCACTTATGAGAAGAGAAGGGAAACACTGCCCTCAGCAGACATCACAAGGATGATTGAATGTGCCTGCTGTTGTATGCAGTCAGTGAGTGCAACACTAATTTTTGTAACCGAAATGCAATATTTGTTTAGACTCCTTTTAAGATATTTCAAGTCTGAAAAAGCCATTTTGTAGCAAGTCTTTCTCTTTCCATTGCATGTCAGTGGAAAAAAAGATCCTTGAAAGCATCACACTGAAAATGCATGTTGAGAAGTGTGCCCTATTTTTTTGGACCACCCTGTATAAGCACAAGTATGACATGCTTGTACTGTTGAAACTTGACAGCTTGTGCTATGAACATAGCCAATGCTTGAGTTGCCAGCTCTGAAATGGCAGGTAAAAGGCAATGGTATTGCCTTTTTTTCTGTTACTGTGCATTGGATTGCTATATTCTCAAAAGGAAGATGAATATGGGCATTTGATTTTGATGGCACTACAGCAGCACACTTAGGAAACTCCTCTCTAGAAACTTGCAAGAGCTACTATATGCGCATTTGCATGGGCTTGATACCATTATGCAAATGCATGATGAATTTTATTACATTCCCTGTTATTGCATTGTTGTGGTATACCTTCCTGAACAGCATGGAACATATTTTTATTCATGAAGTAATTAGGGCCTCTTCTGCACTCTAAGGTGGTGATATACATCAATTTATTTTTAAAATATTTGAGAGATTTTTACATTTTTAGCTTCCTGTATGTCAACTATCAGATCCAAAGGCCTTTTTCTTATAATCGGCCTCATATTGGGTAAAAATGAAAAAGACTGTGAGAGAACTTAAGTAAAAAAAATTGTCAATATTGTTAATGCTGATTTTCTCAGTTTCAAGCTTTTTGTAGTGTCCACATATGCCCCCTTTGCTTTTCTTCATAAAGCCTCATCCTATTGACATCAAATTTAGCTCGCTAATTGAAGTGTATATGAGCTACAATCCTCTTTAATAAAATGTCAATGGTAGGTTTAGTTCCAGAGATACAGCAAAAAAACTTTTTTACCAGCAAAGTGGAGGTTGTAAAAGTATGAAATGGTTGCCATGACAATATAATTGAATATATTCAAAAGTTAACAAGATAGGTTTGTACACTGTTACAACAGTAATGTATCCTGAAGGTTTCAAAAAGATAGCATCAATAGGAAGAGAAAAATCTTGGTGCAAGATTTTCCTATGTGTACATAACCAATTTTTTCATTTTTGACCATTGACCCCTCCTGATTAAGTCATTATTTGACAATTTTCAAAACCCGTTTTTGAATGTAGTTAGTACTCATCACAAGCTTTCCAATGTTATATAATATGTGCAGATTAGTGTGGAAATGTATGATACTTTTGACTTGAGAAATTGGGTTGTCATTTTGATGTATATTGCCCCCTTAAGTTGTCTAAATTAAGACATCTTATTTTCAGAGTTGATTCATTAAAGTCTTAATTAAGGTCTTAAGATGTAAGATTTTAATGTATCTACAGGTAGGGAACACTTTCTTATTTTACAGGTTCGCAACAGGAACCTTAGACAGGAACAAGAGAAAACTCGTGTATTGGAAGAGGCCCTCCAGGTTCTGGCCAAGGAACACTATGAATTGGAAGTGTCATTAGCCTCTGGATTTGTACGACAGCCACGGTTCTATGATGCTATTGATGATGATTTCTATGATCCTACCTCTGATCCCATTGATGGTTAGTTCTCTTCTCTTGTTTGGAATGCAGTGTAACAGTCAAATCCCTGGCAGTGTGATCTTGTCATAATGGTGGAGTCTGAAACCACTGTGGATATACAACAGGAAAAGTCTGAGGAGAGGGTAAAACAGACATCCAGAAAAAATGTATGCGCTTTTCATGTTCATACATAACCCTTTACATGATGTTTTAACAGAACATAATTTCCATGATTGTGTAAGGATTACTTACAATGTATGCTGTTTTAATGCTTGTGCTTAAAATGGCCACTATCAACTGCTGAACATTAACAACACCTTTGGGAACCAACTGACAAACTTTAGCATACAAGTCCACTGGAAGTTGTTGAAAACAGTCCATGATGTTCTCTTTCAATTCTTCAATCATTGCCAGTTGTGAAGCACACCTTACCTCACCCTACTGACTTCTTTGATGCCTGCAAATAGGCAGCTTTCACGCACCTAATATTCTTTGGCACTGTTGCTGTTTTTTTATATCTCAGACCTTCAATTGTGCTTGTCCAACACACTTCCTTCAGCATCAAACTTGTCATGAATTCTTGTAATCAATAATTTCATAGGCAGTTCAGTACCAAATTCTCTTTCAATGCAAATATTGCACTTCGCTCACATTCTGTTTTCCAATACCATTTCAAAACCTGCACTCATTCATTCATCAATGAATGCTGTGCCTGTGCTATGATGTCTACATCATCATTAACATCAGTAATACCAACCTTGTTCTGTAAATTCCACTATCTTGTTCATGCAATTATTTTCAGACTGCTCATATGAAATTTCAATCTGCATACATTTTTTTTTTAAAGTTGAAAGCGATAGACTAGGATCAGGTCTGCTCCTAGTAAGGAGAGGACCAATTTTTTTGGACAATGGATTTCACCTCATAGCATTCTATCTTTTTTACCTCTATATAGTGGAAGTGACTGTCTCTCCAGCCTATCCAATCTTTTCCACTTTGAACCACTCCATTTCAATGTAACAAAAGGCAGGGATACTATAATACTCAAATTGCTTACAGGTTTGCCTGTCTTGGGTAGTCTCTCATGCTATGAAGAGTTTTAAACTAGCTGATTTTCAGCATGGGAATTTGTTTCCATAGTGGGATCAGAGTCTCTCCTATTGACTTGATCTGATGCCATCTTGTGGAGAAATGACATTATATGAGAAAATTCATCAAGTATTTATAGCTGAACCAACTAAGGTGGATGAGTAAACCATGGTGGCTGGAGATAATGCAAGCATTTCCATGATTGGAAATGCTTTCATCCTGAGATTGCAGTTTTGGACAGATGCTTTTTCAGTTGTTGTACAAGACATATGTTTTCTTTTCTCGTACCAGAAGAGTCCATGTCGGTCTGCTCCTCCCAATATATCACTCCATATGCTTCAATGTCAGACCTCTATGCAGCTGTCTCTGATCCTGGCCTCATGTACAGAAGACTATCACATATTTCTGAAGGGAGTCATGCAAATTTGAACTTGCTGGTGAAGCAGAATGTTTCAGAACCCTGCTGCTCCACCTTGAAAACAAGTGTCCTTGGAGGAGGAAATCTAACTTCAGCATCAATTGGTGTTGAAGATTCCAGTCTTATAGGTAGCCCTCATGGTAATCCTAGCTTGGAAGACCTTGATTCTGCTGAGAGCCATGGGTGCACTAGGGGGAAAAACTCAGGAGGTGAAGAGAAGCAAAAGATGAGAGATGGTGCTGGTATGTCATTGCTTCTATCTGTCTCTGTTTCCCTCTCTGTCCTATTAGAATTTCAGCCCTGAATTTGAACTACTCATACAGAGTATGAGTAAATAAAAGCAAAAAGTCTAGACTGAGTTGTGATGCAGTTTTTTCTTTGTGGACTGTTGCAATCCAACTATTTGGGTGATCTTACTTGGCATTTGTGAAGTGCACTGGATCTAGAGTGTTGTGTGTGTTAACGAAAGAGCACTATGCAAAGTGAGGGGAGATTATTTTTATATCATTAATCTTTGGGGCATTTTTTTATCTGTTGAAAAATAAAACAAAAAAGTGAACAAAATAAGCACAAGGAGAGCAGAGAAAGTCCCCATTGGCCTGTCCCTACAGCTACACCCTTGATCAGCTGTCACTTGACTTTTTCAAAGTGCTATGTGGAAACTAATGGAAAAATAATAAAGGAATTACAAAAAGTCTAAAATGTATAAGTAGTGCACAAGAGCAGATGTAAATGTAAAATATAGTGGAAAATGCACAAAAAATACAGTGTGTTCAAAAGAAAATTGAAAAATATGAATGCACAAATACAGGGAAAAATAAGAAAAAATTGGATAGAAAATACTGTGTGAAAAAATCATGCATAAAGCATTTAAAAAAAGATGAAAAAATGGGTATTGTACTATACCATTTCAAAAATGGCCAGAAGTATGAAGAAGTATAGGTCAATAGTTTTGGTTATTAGAATACTCTTTATTATAGAATAAAGTGCATCAGTCCCAGGAGTATTCCATTTGGTGGAGTCAACTTTATTCCCGGAAGGTAATAAGAATATGAGTCTCCTGACAAAAGGCTGATTTTATCCATGTGTACCAGGAGTTGTTAAGCTGGTGTCATTAATGTACAATATATTTGTATTTATATGTTTATGCTTCATCAATCTGTCAAAATGGTTGGGAATGGAGCAGTAACTTGGTCTGAATATCTTTTAGGTCATGAAAATGAACCTGTTAGTAGAACCCCTCCTACCTATTGTAATTTTTTTCTGCTAATGCAGTTACATTGCCCTTTGTCTAAATGGTTGAATGTAGAGAGCTGTAAATTGGCACAATTACATGGTTGGTTAAAAGGTATTGGGCTATCTTTTGAATTCTTCCTGTTATCACTTTGAATACTGCATTTCCTTTTGAAAATATATGCATCATCCCCTTGTGCCAAAATGATTTGATGTACAGAGCTGTAAATTGGTTTGACCACATGTATGGGTGGTGGGTATCGACTTACATTTTGAAAATCTCCTACATTATCACCTTAAATTTTTTTAAATAGTAAATTTGGTTGGGGCCCTATGCCAAAAATGGAATATAATAAACTTGGAATTTATCTAATTTTAGGGTCTTGGATATGAACCTGCATTCTGAATACCTTCTACAGGGTGTCCCAGAATTCCTGTCACAGTAAAAAAATTTTTTTCTTTTAGTGAAAGTGTTTCCTAATTAGTTTATTTCATGGATGTGTTTTTCCTTTCAATGGGTAATCTGAATGTTGTCTGCTATTTTTGTAATGAGGATGCCCTTCACCCTATACCTTAGCTTTTGCTAAGAAAATGAAGAAAAGTAAAAATGGGACAGGAATTCTGGGACATCGTGTATGAGGGCCAGCCGAAAAGTTCTCAGCCTAAGTAGGAAGGAGTAAGCATAGAGCAATCTTACTTCAACATTTTTCAACATAGTCCCCCTTGGACTTGTATGTACTTATTCCACTGGCATTAACTACCCATTATCCCATTCTTGTAGAATGATACTTCATGCTTGTTGCACCAGTCCCTCACAGCATCCACAACCTATCATCATTAAATAATTTGTCATGAAGATGCCTCTTCATCTGAGGGATGAGGTGAAGGTCCAAAGGGACTAAATCTGGTGAGTAAGGTGTGTGGCCAAGCAGTTCAAAGCCACTGTCTTTGATGGCACTCAAAGCAATGTGTAATGTGTGCAGGGGCCTTTTCCTCAAAATACGTGATCTTCCTTGAAACAAAATGTTTTGGAAAATAAAAAAAATTTTAGTAGTCCAGTAAAACCTGGTAATTGACATGACATTGAATAGTTACACCCTCAAAAATGTTTTGGGCTATAATGAAAGCCCCATTCTCAGTTAGGCTGAGAACTTTTCAGCCAACCCTTGTATATATAACCCTCGGTCAACTGATGTTTGAGATCTTAGGAACAAGAATGCAAACTAACATGAGATAAATGCAGATTTTCTTGTATATAAACCCTGGGATTTCTACCTGCAGCTGATAGCTCCAACATCTAATGACCTAATACCTAATAATGCTCACACTGTAGAATATCCTCTCAAAGCTATTACTCTGTGTACATGAGTATGCTTCCAACAGATTCTCAAAGTTTCATCCAAATTTGTTGGACAGAAGTAATACTATCAGCAATTATTGAAAAGAAATTTAATATTGAGAATGAACAAGAGCTCCTGCTGGTAGTGGAGTGGAAGAAACACTTGAGCACTGTCCTTCCTGGTCTTCAAGACCACATCAAACTCCTCTTCCATTTAAATTCATTTTTGGCCTAGTTGTCTCTTGCAAATAGTTTTCATGAGCTTATTACCAATGAATAGCAGATGAATATATGAGTGTGAATCTTTAATATTGATATTCCAGGTATCTTTGTAAGATATTGTGTAAAATCATGTCAGAAAGTGTCATGAGAAGGGGGATACTTGTAATCCTTTTTGAATGTTTCTCATTATTCTCTTGTTTGCTTACTTCAGGTTCAGACAAAGATCAGATCACTGAGAAAACCAAGTTGGAGAACCCATCAGTAATGGAGCATCAAAAGTCAGCACTGAAATATTTACCCTCAACACCTGCCTCATCAATTTCCTTGTTGCTGAAGAATTCTTCTTCCAAAAGGACATCAAGCAGTGGTGCAGCATCCAGTCAACATAGAACTACATCACCAGGGTCTTTGAGGCATGAAGCTGAAGCACCACCTCCTCCCTGTTCCAGCAAAACTTCAAAAAACTGTTGTATATCTGCACCTGAATTGAGGCCTTTGTGAGTTTCTGTGCCTTAGTGAAAATAATTGGAAAAGAGTTCTGAAATAGTCCTAATCTTTTTCAAGCATAGCAGGAGCCTTGCTAACCTGACATTTATAAAGGGGTCGTGGAAGCACCCATTTAAAGTACAACTACTTGCACAGTTCTGAAGAAAATATTCTGAAGAAGATATGGAATAATCATTTTGGGGAACACAAGCAATGTTGCATGTTTGAGTGACAACTTCTTAACTGACAGTTGTTGTGTTACAGGTCTCCCAGTGAAGGTGAAGCTGCACCTAGTGCTGGCAGTCTTCCAAAACTTCCTACAAATCCACCTCTTGCTACTGCTCAGATGAAGCCTCAGACCCCTCCTCAGCCTGAAGACCAGGAACTGAAGCCATCAAGCCCAGTTCCAACTCCAATGACAGCTTCTACTTCTGTTTCTCCATCCAGGTCTCCAGTGCCACAAAATTTTCCTCCTGCCACATTTCACTCATCACCAGTTCAGATGCTACCACCTGGATCATTCAGGACAATCAAAGGTAGAAAATTTTTTTTGTTTAATACTCCCCCATGACCACTGCAAATCTCGGTCATTAAGAGGTGGTGGAACATTTGACAAAGTTAACATACAGTCGATACTCCATATCACAAACCTCTATATAACAAATTTTATTTACAATGAATTTTTTAAAAGTTCCTGACTGTTTTCTGATTCACATGCATGTTTCTGTATGACGAATTGTTCTGTTTTACAAAGTCGTTTTTTCATCCAAAGGAACAAAACTGTTCCATATTATGAAGTTAAAATCTGCTGCACATGTCAGATATACTTTCTTCCACGCATTCCTCGAAAATCTCATCTGGTATCTAAGTTTAGTATGTCCTATATACTTGGTGGTGTGGCCGTGGTAAGGGAATGACATCAATCAACCTTAATCTTCTCAGAATCAGGTCTAGTCTAGATTTATGCTTAGTCAAGCAATCAAAGCCTTTGACTATTTCTGGCTATTTTTTGGCCAGACCAAACGTTGAGCTTGAACGTTTAAACATTGAGTGCTCTGCAGACCATGGCTCAAAGAATCCTCCAGGAAAGCGTGTGGTTGACGATCAATTGGAATTTTGTTTGCTTTGAATAGAGAGCATTGCTGACTCGTCTGATTTTTATTACATGTAATTTAGGTACCCATTTAGGTATAACCCCTGAGAGCTGAATCTCTGCCATATTTCATGCGCTTAGACCTTCGCACTCATTTTATGAATGGACAAAGACTTGCTTTTCAACACTGTCATTTTGAAGTGATATCGACATAAGTTTAACAGATTTCTCTCTTTTTTTCAGGAAAATGAGAGAAATTTCCTGTAACTAATTTTTTTAGCCTGTCCCTTGAAGTTTGTTATATGGAGCATCGACTATATATTTTTCTCCTTGATGGTCATCAATTCTTTGAAGCTTAAGTTTATGACTGGAGGTCGCTATCAGTTTACATCAGGGGTGTCAAACTGGTGACCCATGGACTGGATCCTGCCTGCCAGTCTATTTTGTCCAGCTCATGAAGTCCTCTTAAACAGTGGGTTATGGAAAGGTGCTGCAAATTTCCACCTGTTTACATTAAAGATTAGGTATTAGGTTTTTATTATGGCCCCTAATCATCCCTGAAAGCTTCCATATGACTCCCAGCCTAATCAAACTTGATACCCCTAGTTTACATTATTAATTCATTAGACTGATTAGAAAATAAAGCCATTGCAATGGCAGTTTTTAAATTGATACATTTCTTGGACCATCGATGATACAGCAATGCATTTGCAAAATGAAATATCTCTGGTAAATGGTGGCTAATGGGAGACAGAACAGAATGTGCTGGGATGAGAAATTTAGGCCTCTTTTTGACTCTAGCACAATTACCAGGCTCATGCTGGGAAGTATCAGCTATCTCATGTACAGAGGAGCTGAAAGTTGGTGGAGGCTGGTAGGTAAGGAAAAAAATAAAAATAAAGGAAACCAATGTCAGGTTTTTCCCCTCTACTCTTCCCAGTTGTACTCCATTGCTCTAAAGGAGTTCCCTTTAAAGATCTACATAAGAAATCAATTTCCAAGAGCTTTCCCCTGGAGAAGATCCCAGCTTTCCTTTCACAGTCAGTACTTAGTTCATGGAATGAATTGGCCTCATGCAAAATGTGTTCATACTTGAAGTGTTAAATATCAGTGTAGCCATTGACTATTTTTCAGAAAGAGTTTAAGATGCATTTATTGTCATTTTCATCCTGTAAGGAAGAGGAAAGCTACATGTAATGATCGAGAAGTCTGGGAATAAGTAACCATTTGTAGTTTTTTTTATATCTTAATCATGTTTTATCTGTTTTAGTTGTTAATTAATTGATAGATTCTCTTTCCTGTATTCTACAACCTTGATAATGAGCTATTGTTGGATACAGAAAAAGTCGTGGAAGTCCATCCTCATCGGAAGTCTTCAATTGTTGAAGGAACTAGCAGGCGAGTTAATGTGCTTCCAGATGGTACCATTGTCCCTGCACATTCACCAGCCTACTTCAAATTCAGGTTGGTTTAGGTTCACTCTCTTGAAGATGCTTTCCATAAAGACATGATGCAGATTTAGCCTGTAAATACATTCCTATCGGAGTGCCTTCATGGGAGAATGAAGTTTGGATGAAAATGCAAATGAAGTTTGGCTAAATTCCAATTATTGAATGATTCTTCCACTCTTACTCTTCCACAATGGGCGTAACTTTCTGCAATGTGCATTCAATTTTATCCAATGTAGCATGGGGTTCCAAATGCTTTCATCCATATTTTATTGGGCTCAGCAACCCTATGCAAATTAAAAGATCTTCATCACTGGGATATTAGTAGAGTTCAGTTTTTCTATGGTATCTACTTTGCTTTCGCCCTATTTCCAGTTTTAATGTGACAGGGGGGGGGGGGGGGCCTACAACCAAAGCGGAATGCATCTGCAGTGACAGCATAGGCTTGTTTGATGGCATTTAGTCTCCAAAATGTCTCAGATTGAATGAGTGAAGTATCACTCGTAATATACGCCACACCGACATCAGCAATGTCGTAGCTGTGTGTTTCATTCATTTCTTTTGGAATTCACAACTTGCTCCTACGAAAACAAAAGTTCTGCTGATCCAAAACTCTTGAATTAATTCGTTCCCCGGCGCACTCTTGCCTTTTTTTTATCATATGAAACTGCTGGTTTGATGTGGGTTAAGTTGGCATGCTGGTAAAATTTAGGTTGTCTTCCAGAATTGAAAGCTAGTCTTATGTCAAGCTTTTGTTGAAAGTAGATATGAATGGGGGGGAAATCCCTATTCTTAAGCGAATCAAACTTGTTAGAAGTACTTCCCTTCCCTTCTTTCCTTTATAAATAAATAATAATAATATTGGACTAAATTTGAGAAATAGTGAAGGCTTTCTCTGGTTACTGAACCTAAATCGATCCAATCCAAATATTTTTGTGTTCCGTTTGCACGCAGTGATCATGTTGTTAAACAAATCAGCAATTGGCTCTTGTAGTGTTGCAGCAGTAGTTCTCAAGCTCGGGGCACGACGTCGCCTGGACTTTTTTGCATTTTTTTATTTCATTTTATCATGATCTTTTAAAAGTTGTTTTGTATGTATAATTAATTTTTTACAGGAATTTCTTTTAAACATTCATTCTCAGCTGAGTCAAGGCAATTTTAAGCAGAGTATGCAGTGAGGGAGGATATTCCACTGATTTTCCCTGGAATAAATAACAAATCTTTCTGACTTTCTTTCTCCAAGAGCCCAAGACGGAATTGAATGGACAATCTATTGATAGTTAGACCAAGCATATAAATCCTTTTTTCATCTTTTTTTAATTAGAAATCCGGAAGATCAGTTTATTTCATTGATTTTTCGCGACCAGCTCTTGCATTTAGTTGACCCGACTAGGTCTGCTTCAGCCTAGTTTCGAAGCTTTTTACGGCCTCCATCCGAGTTTTGATTGTGAGTCTCTGCGCTCCAACTTGATTGCTTATTGCAATGTTGATGGATCGATCTTCTGTGATGAAATATTGGAAGAGACAAGAGGAAGAATAGAAATTGTTGATCCTCCAGACGAAGGAAAATGTCCCCAAAATAGATCTAATCAGGATCAAGATATCAAGATCTCATTCCTTTCCAGTAAGATCCCTGCCGAACTTTTATCATCGAAGAGGATTATTAGATTTCTCCATCAGGGTTATGAAAATTCTGCTATATGCAACATATGTCTTGTGCGAAACAGTTTTCTGCAGAAGCTGCGATGAAGACGAAATGTCAATGCCGGCTGGATGATAAAAATGAACTTTGCGTCCTTGTTTCTTAATGATGATACAATTTCTATATAATTTCTTCTTTTTTTTTCATCCAGCCCAAATGTTATTATTTCTGCGCTCAGAAGCAATTATATTTTTCGGACTAAATTTGATTCCTAATCGTTTAATTAATTGCAAGCTGCATTGAACTGCTGCGATCCATTTTCTTTGATTTTGTATTTAATTTCATGGCGAAAATATTTCCTGGAGGTAGGCTCCGTCAAAACAGGGTTGCAAGTTCGTGCTTAGGTACTCAAAGAATGAGGAAGCAACGCTGAGTCATAATCGCTGAAAGGGTTCTAAGACTGCTGTGTTACAGAGTGACCTTGAACCCTTTCATATCCGAATTATGTTTTAGACATTCCATTTAGTTTTGTGGATTCAAGTCCTGGGAACCCAGTACAGTGAACCTTCGATATACCTCCGCCCTCGCTCATCGCGAAATCCTCAATGAGAACAGATTTCTCAGTAATCCTATAGTAGGCAATCCCCCATTATAGCGCCACCCTTGCAAGCCGCCATCCTCCAACACCATTACGCAAGCGTGCTCCACGTAAATCCACGCTTTCCACTTAAATTCTCCTCGATTCTGTGCCAGGTGGCGTACCTGCCGCAATCCAGTATGCACACAGCTAAATATTTGATGCAAGACTGTCCATCCTATCGTGCAGCAGATAGCACGGCCATGAGTACATACTGCTTATGCTTTAAAAAAAAAACACTTTGGAGTTAAGTTAGATTTAAATTTAATTTATTGAAAATGTAGTCACATTTAAAAACATCATGCCGCTTCATTAGTTCTGCTAGCAAGCAAACCTTGACTTTCTGTCGAATGCTTCTCGACATTTATATGCTGCTTGACAAAATCCAACGTGCAAAAATTTCGAAATAAAAAGCTGAGATGAATATTTCTTCAGCGTTTACCGTTCGATTCTGCTCCTGGTCTGCCCTTTGAGCATCGTGCCGAGAATACGCTCTTGAGCATGCTCGAACCGCGGCCCCCTTAAGGTACCTATACCCCATTTAAAATATTTTTTCGAAAAACAATCATTTTCGCAAAAATTGGCTCAAACTGTACTTCAGACACTGAAGATTGCTTTTCCGTTGGAAAAAATAATGGAAATTAATTAATTATGTGTAATTTAAACCAATTAGTGTAGTATTGTCTTAGTTACATCTCCTTAGCGCCGACTTTAGCTCTTGGATACCATGTTTAACACTTTCGCTGCCAAGCCATTTTTTGGAGGTCGTTTTCCTGAGGCCAAAATAATCCTCTTAATTCTGGTGTGCATGACACAAGCGATTCCGCGAAAGGTGGGGATCCACTGGAGATGATGAACACATGGGACGGCAATCGACAAGCCGTAATGAGGAAACTTTGAGCTCGTCCGCAATGACTGCCGGCAATCAAACGGTACCTATGTCGTACCTTTGAATTTCTAGCCAATCTTGGAGTGCCATTGCTCCCACATTCATCGTATTCCTTGGACCTCGAACTTTGCGAATTCAGGCTGATTCCAAAAATGAGGTACCTTCGATGTATGGCTGCCACTTCGACGACCCAGGCGCTTACCAATCAACTTGCGACCAACGCGTTGGACAAATGTGCCAGTAATGGGTTACAGTCTGTTTTAAGCTCTTTACAAACGAATGGAAATGTGTAGCAAGTCAGGTTGAATTAGAAGGTTGACTGGAAAAAATTAAGTAACTTGAACTTTTTTTTTGCAAATAAATTCTTCGACGAATTGACGTGAAAATGATAGTATACCTTGTTGACGAGGTTCTTCAGCTGTTGAAGTATATGCAACCTTTGGTTGGACAAATTGGTGGTCGTGGAATAACGAGAACATTTCCAGCTAATAAGGACGCAATTCGAATAATTAGCATATTAATACGTAATATGGAGAAAAATTATTATTTTTGCTGAATATTTTTCTTCTGAGAGAATTTCATCAAATTGCTCCGTCATTCCAAGCTTTAATGTATTTTATTATGTATGTGAATTTCATCCCTTTATATTCAAAGATCGTGTTTGCAATGTCGCTACTTTTTTCACTCACGGCGGCCATATTGACACACAATTAGCATAATTTATGCAAATTATGCATGAAATCTAAATAGATTCTAGAAGCCTCCAACCTGATATTGATTGACCTGAGTTGATCTACACCACTGGAACTCGCCATATTGGTTTTAAAGGGGTATTGCTACCTTAAGTTGGGATAAGCAATGTCGGAAATGTATGTATGTATATTTCTGGAAGTTACTTAATACAGATTTTCTAAAACTTCCTGATTCCCTTTCTTTGATCAGCTTTAGATGCTGAGAGGTACGCGACGAACATTTTAACGAAATTTTAAGGAAATTAAATTTGATTACTATGAAAAAGCTGACATGGCTGTTATTGGAAAAAATTTCGTAGGTGCCTCGGCACCTACGAAAGTTGGTGGTGCCAATTTGGACTAGTGGGCATGAAGGAGCTAAATAGCATAAGGCTCCATTGCGTTCTCCTTTATCTTCATAAAGCAAGAGGGAGTCTCTACGTGTGCTTAATGTTCACCGAATTATTTATTTCGGCAAGCGCAGATTGATGGCTGCTTCTCTTCAAGTCTGCTGCCTGGAGACGTCTCTGACCTTTCTCTTATTGTAAAATTCATGCGTCGTATCGTATGAGAAAGCATGACTCCGTGGATGAGTAGGCTTTGCCATTTGCATTCGACGTGCCTCATCGATTCGAGACACGCGTGCAAAATAATTTGATCATCCAGCGCACCTTGATGTGCCCGTGGGGAAAAGTCCCTCGCGATCTCACGTCTGTGACCTAAATGCCGTGGTTAAGTATCTGGGTTTTCACCTAAAAAAGGGAAATCCCCATGAAGTGGCTTCTCCTTGCCTCTCGTTAACTTACATGGAGGATGGCTGCTAGAATCCTCATGCATAACGTCAGGGTCAGTGTATAAATTCAGGTTGGGACAAAAGAAGTTCGCCCATTCGGCGACACCAATACTTGTTGAGGCGCGCTCAAGTAATTTCGGGGATAAAAGAGACTCTTCCCTGATCGAGTGCAACTTATTTCGAGGTAATACGACCAATAATTTTACACAATAGGTTCTTTTTTTTGCAGCATGATGTAATAAGTTGCAGGCGCGGGTCCATAATAACGTCGAAAAACATCCATTTTCTTTTTCCAATTAAGTATTCTTCAAAAGCGTAGATAGCAGCAATCATA